AAAAAAATAAAAAAATAAAAAAATCTCAATCCTTTACCTTAAACTGCACTTGGGGCTCTCCTTGGGCAGCCATGCTGGGTCTGCAGGGGAAATGGAAGCATGTGAGCTCACAGGCGCCGAGCTGGTTCAGGGCCTCGCCGGAAGGGGCTGGGCGCCCTTTTCAGTTCCCAAACCGCCTTCCGAGGCGCGTGGCTCTGCGCGCCACTCGGCAGCGGCCCGAGGGGGGGCTGCGGCCGGGCCCACACCGCTCCCCCCCCCTCGGTCCCCTCTTCCCTCCAGCTCCCCCCCCGGCCCCAGTCCCGGTCCACTGCCGCCTCCCCCCACACACACGCGGCGGGAGCGTTCGGAAATGGCGGCGCCTCCCTCCACCCCCCTCCGCCCCGCAACAGCGGCGGCCGCCGCGCCCCTCTGCCTTTCGGGCCGGTTCCCCCAGCCCGAGCTGCACCCCCTCCACCCCCCCACTACCGCCTCACGGAGGGCTGCCCTCAACCCAGCTCCACAGAGAGCCCCCCCGAGCCACTCACAAGCGGTTATAACCCCCCCCTCCCCCCGAACACACGCATCGGGATGAGCTGCCCGGGGGTTCTCTGGGGGATCCCCAACGACGCCTCCCCACCCGCCCCCCCTCACAGCGGGCCCAGCGCCACCATGACTGGGCAGCGCCGTCTCCCCTCCCCCACGGGCCGTTGCTCGGGGGCCCCGCTCCACTCTATCTCCCGGATGCCGCCCGCCCTGGCCGCGGGGACAGAGGAGAGCCGGCCCTCACCCCGCTCTGAGGAGCGGCGGGAGGGGGGCGCCGCGCACGGCCAGCGGCCTCACGGCACCAGCGCCGCTCACTGAGGCCCAGCCGCGCCGCGCCCCAGCCCCGCTCCCACGCGGCGCCCACCTCGCCCCGCTCTCTTCTCCGAGCGGCCCCGCTCCCCCCCGCACCCTCGGGGGGATGAAACGGAGGCCGCGCCGAGCCCGTTACCTTCCGCGAGGTTCCTCTCAGCGGCGCTCCGCGCAGTGACTGGGCGCTGGGAAGATGGCGGAAGCGCGGTTCAAATGCCCGGAGAGCGACGCCGCGCGGCTGCAGGGAGGGGGAGGGACCGCGCGTCACGTGGGGTGTGGCGGGGAGCGGGCGGGAGGCAGCGGGCGCGCGGCGGCCCCGCCTGAGGCAGCTACAGCCGCCGGGGCGAGAAGGGGGCCTCCCACCGCCGTGCCGAGGGCTGATGGAGAGGTCGGTCCGAGAGACCTCGAGGGCCTCGTCGGCCTCGTCCCCGTTCGTGTCCTGGCGAATGGGGTCAGGTGACCCGGTTCTTGGTCCACCCAGAGTTTTAAAAGCGCACGTAGTTGCTTGGAGAAACTACTAAAGTGTCGCTGGCACCGTTTAATAAAGCGGTTGGGATGTCTAATTAGAGGGTTTAATCGATTGACTCTAAGGTAAAAACTGTGCTCAAAAGGGCTGTCCTTAAATGTGCCTTACAACCAATATTCTTACGTCATACAAACTGATCTGCATTCATTACAGTGCACATGAATGAACATAAAACATGCATTGTAAGCCCTATTGAAGTTTTCTCACCACTCACGTCCAAACTTCAGTGGAACAAAGTTGCCCAAAAACTCTAAGACAACATAAAATAGATGTTTTGTATAGATTATACATACCAACTTCCCAAGTTCACACTGATCCCCTAATTTTTCCCCGTGTATAGTTATGGTTACCATAGTTCTCAGTTTTTTCCCTAGTATACTTATGCAACTTTTACATGGTCTGCATAAAGTGTTGGTACATCCATAATACACAATCAATGAAGTTTAAATACCTCTGTATTGAAATAATATTAAAAATATTTAATGGCAGATTAAATACAAAAATGTAGTTTATATCTTGCTAATTTTCTACATATATAGTAGCAATGTGTACAGAAACTTTTGCAAGAGTCATTGCACTCCACTGTATGTTTTGCTTATTTGACGGCAATACAAATATTGCATAAGATTTTCTTTGTTGGAAGAATCACTGGCTTGTTGAACTTGCTTTCTTTTTGGACAACTTGTTTGTGTTTGCTTTTTTTTTTTAGCATATTTGCTCATCACCTCTAGGTGTCAGGAAGGATATTTTTCAGAATATATAACTCGTCTTACATTTTTCTCAGCATAATTCTATCTTTATAAAACCCTTGTGAATTCCACCTCTTTTCTTGACAAATAGGCAGTCATTTATAAATAGGAGCCCACAAAGCCACATTAGGGGAGTTTGGCAGTTTTTAAGAATATAAACACTTCCAGGAGAAAAATCAATCTCTAACTTTGTTTATAGACCATTCAGTGTACTTTATAAACTTCTCAGTAGTGTTACAGATAAATTACTGAACTACTTTTTCCCCTTCAAACATAAGTGGTAATACTATCTGATTCTTTAATTTGAATTATTAAAATAGATGGCCAATTAAAAAGTCCCCTGTTGTAGGTTTTGAGCTCTTCTCTAATATTTAAAAGTCACTATAAATTACTATGTGGGATCTAGGTTTTATAATCATGTATAAATAAGTGTTCAGAGCATCTATAGAATATCTGCTCCAGATAATCACATTCAGCAAAGGTAAAAAAAAAAAAACAAAAAAAACACTTCCAAGCACTCATCAACAGCATCAGATTGCTATCTAAGAGATTGGTGTCCACAAGATACCACTAGGTAATCAGCAAAATAATTGCCTTTAAAAGATCTTTGTTTCCTATAATTTGACTCAGGTTAGCTGAGAACAAACGTAGCAACTCACTGAAGCAGATAAAAAGATTTACTTAAAGTAAAAGACAACCTTTATTACTAAGTTATTTAAGGACAAATGAGGATTGGTACAAAAGGTACTATTATGGGAGATAAATAGCTCCAACAGTATCATATTTTAGAACTGCTTTATCAGTAAGAAGAAAAACCATTTTGTAAACTGTAAAAGAAGGCAACAATATATGCTAGCAAGCAATGCAGAGAAAGTATACCTCCCACTGGTAGAAAAGTATCTGGAATACGAGCTCAAGCAGGAATGGAGGTCTACATGCTGATGTTCAAGGCGACACAGGAAATTACACTGAAAAGATTTTAAGAGGAAATTAGTCACTTTCAGCATGAATAGGTAACATGGATCACACAGTACTAAAATTCAATCAAAATATGCATTTGAAAGTCAATTTTCATTTTTTTTTTTAACCATGTAAAGCTGACATAAAATGAAAAAGCATGTCTTACTCCAAGTTTCATTAACAGACTATACTCTTGGAAAATAAGCATTTACTAAGTCAATGGTGAAGAGCAGATGCAGATCTGAATTTTTTCAGAGAACGAAATTCAGCAACTTACTGTCATCGAAGCAGTTTACAATGCCTCTACAATGCCAAGTTTAAATTCCTCATCCAACACTGGAACAAAATTATTTAAATACATAAAATATATAAATAGTATTGGATTATTATACTCAGTATCCAAAAGTGACATTTTTAGAAACAGTTGCTGCTCAACAAATAATGTTGGAAATAAAGTTTATATACACTAGAACCAGGATACTAATAATTATGAGTATATACTAATAATTACAGATAATTATAGTTTGAAGTGGTACTTGATAGCAAGCACCTATGGACAAAACCACACCACTACTAAAGACCTTCTGCCTTCTATAAAATGTCCATGATTTATTTCCTAGAAGCTCTCAGGCCCTTAAGGCCTGCTGTTGCATCTATTCAGCACATTGGTGAGTTCCTTATCCTGTGAGCCCTTGCAGTCACTGGTTTTGGTGTTGTAGTGGAGACCTAAACATTAATAAAACACAGTGTTTCTCAACCCTTTTTGGCCTAAGAGTTAAAAGAAGTCAACTGACCACCTTGTGACCCAAACGTGCAGCTTGCCTTTTTACATTTCCAGTCATGATATGGGTCCTTCATAGCTGTTTCATGGGTGACCCCAAGCTGTGGCTTAAAACCGCAGGGACAGTGGGATGCCTAAACCTGGCCAGCAGAAGTAGCAACAGTGGGAGATGCAGTCTGTCTGCTTTTGGTAATGACGTGCAGAAAGCAAACTCCACAATCAGTAAGATTGTAAAGTAGGTGTGTTTATTCAGCACTGGGCAGCACAGAGGGTAGTCCCACCGAAGTCGTGCGCACCCCAACACGGCACTCGCCTGGGTTATACGTGGTGAAGAGTTACATATGCATGAAGTTTCTTGAGATGCCTATACATATGCATGACCTACCCCCACTTTGTATTAAAATTAGTTCCAGGGAGTCATTTTAATAGATTCCTCCTAGCCACGCTTGTGCAGTGTATTCTGGTAGTGGTCGCTGGGGGTCATGGTGATGAAGATTAGTGAGTCTTCCTCGTCACTGCTAGTTGACCTCTCATCTCAGCACAGACTCATAAGCTTCTCAGCTTCTGCTTAAACTGCATATTCAGTTTCAGTTGGTTCTTGAAATGTGTTTCCTGTTTTCTATCAGGAACTGTTTTTCGTGAGGAATCCCAGAATTTCCTGCCACAGTTTCTTTGCACAATAGGTAGCGGAAGATATAGTACGTGTCTCTTACCTGTCTTATTTACTGAAATCCTTTTAGCTTCCTTTCACATGCTCGTTAGTCTACCTTATCTACTAAAATTCTTTCAGCCTCCTCTCAGTAACTAAACATGAAATTTTAAGAAGCCTGTCTGCAGTCTATCCACATTGTACACCAGAGGATTACATTCATTAAAAAAAAAAAAAAGGCACATAACCACGTAACAATTTTTTCCAGCTCTTCTCCTTAGTATTCCCTTGCAGGCCCACCGCCCCTCCCTGCCCTTCAAAGCGCCCGCCGTGACTACATCCCCACCGCCACCCCGCGGGGCACAGTCGCCATTTTGATTACCTCAGCCCCGCCGCGCCGTCAGCAGCGCGAGGACGCCTGCGCGGAGCCGCGCGCCATTTTCCCCTCTATTCCGCCCCTCTGCGGGGCGCATGAGCGGTGCGGGTGGCGGCGGCCGTGAGGTGGGGCGGGGGGTGGGAGGGTGGCTGAGCAGAGCCGGTTGAGGGGCGGCCCCGCGGCGGGCAGGGCAGGGCCGGGCCGGGCCGGGTGCTGACGGCTCCGAGAGAGGAGCTGAGGGAAGGCTGAGGGGCCGCAGGAATGAAGGACCGGCTGGCCGACCTGCAGGAGGTGAGGGAGGCGGGGGCTGCCCTGGCCGTTACCGCCGCGGCCGCTGAGGAAGCGCCTCGGGCGCGGCCCCGGGTCTCCGCGGGGCCGGCGCCGCGTAGGAGGAACGCGGGGGTTGACCTGGTGGCCTTGAGGCCCTTTAATCTGTCGGTGTGGCTGGCTTTGGGGCCCTTCTTTAACCTCTCGGGGAGTAATTGAAGGGCCCCTCTCGGGGTCCTTCTTTAACTTCTCCTGCGTAATTGAAAGTACGCAGGAATTTCTGTGATAATTCCTAAACGCCACATACGCATACAACTTGGCCTGTGCTGAGCTGTGTGAAGGTTTGGGGCTCGTTTGTCTTGAAGCTCTAAGTTCATATTTTCCAGATAATAAAAATATGTTTTGCAAGGTCCAAAGCTTCGCTCTTCTCTCCAAAGGGATAAATTGGCATGCAAGGTCATTAGAGCACAATATCTTTACCAGGAAAGATATATCGGAGCAGTGCCAAAGAAATGAGCATTTTCTTTCATGTATACTTCAACCCTTCTTCTGTTTCCTGTTTATAAACATGGCCAGGTTATGGGAATATGCACCAAATTTCAGTAGTGGTAGTTGCTTCCCAGAAAGAGGAAGCAGTAAGTGGTGATCTGTGTTTGTTTTATAATGCCAAACAAGTACACTTCCTTTTGATGGAGGGGAAGCAACAGTGGGCTGTGTGTATATATTTTAAAAATAAGTAAATCGTTACAATTTTTTTTTTTATTGTAGTTGAAGGTTTTTACTGTATGTATATTTTTTTGGCCCACTTTAGTATTTGATATCTAAAAACATTACTGCAGGAGGCTATTTCTTTAACTAAAGCATTGCTGCAGAAAATTACTGCTTTAAGTCTAAACACTAAGGTCAGTATTGCTGAATTGCGTCATATGTTCATCAACGTAGTTAAGTTTAGAATTAATGAATAGATCTAAGACTTGAAACTGAAGCTTCCTTATACCTAGAAGGAAGTCCTTTAACATCAAGTGAAGTCAACAGCTATAGAAGAGTCCGTGTTTTATCACTTAAAAGTTCACCGTTGACATGAAGATTTGAAAAGTTGTGTGTCACAAGAGGTGGGCTCTGTAAAACTTGATTTGCACAGGGAATTTGTAGAAGTAATTATTTCCATTTTGCCTCTTTATCTTAAATATAAAAAAAAAAAATTGATCAGCAATTAACGTTTATTTGCCTATTTTCCATAGCGTTTCAATCTTATTATTGTAGTTCATCACGTTTTATTTGATTAAAGCATTCAGTGAAGGGTAGAGCTTCTATATTGTCATTTTTAAACAGGTCTGGGCCTGCAGAATCTTAAGGAATTACTGAATCTTACCTCTTCCCCTTAAAATAATGTTATTTTGTATTGCATTGGTTATGTTTTTCACGTCAGCTTCATCTGCTGTGTTTTTGGCAAAGACGTGATGTGCCACACAAATAAAGTTTGAGATGCTAATACTTCTGCCAGTGCACACACTATTTAATTAAACATGGTGCTGCTTCTAGAAGAAACTTAAGTTTGCAAGACCTTATTTATGCTTGTGGATTTTAACTGACAGCAAGCAAGTTTTGTCACCAGACGTGGTAATGTTTACCTAGATTTTCCTATGTCTTTACAAAGAAAAAGAAATGTTACTTATCAGTGCTTATGGTTCATTAAGATATAAAATTACCATATTTTTTTTTGATCCTTCCGTCAATATCTGGTATTTGGTAGTTAAACAGTGCTAAAATAATTGCCTGAGAAACTGTTGTAGACATGCAGATCGTTCAGGTAATACTGCATTGTCCTACTTCCCTGCTAGAAAAAAAATCATGCCTTTTTCAGAAGATGGGAACCTGAGTTGTATTTGTCTGCTTCAAGGGGCTTATTTCAATGTTTTTAAACTATGCTATGCAGGCCAATATGAACTTGCTTCAGCTTTAGAAATCTCAGTTACCAGATACATTTCTCAAATACGATTGATAGTTGGTCATATCCCAAACTGGTTTGGGGTATTCTTTAGCCCAAATTAATATAAGATTAAAATTTAAAAAAAAAAAAAAAAAAAGGCTCTCTCTGGTCCAATATGCTGCATATAGCAGTGGTCAACAATAGATATTTTGGGAAGAAAAGAAAAGCAGGGCAAGTATATAGCAATGATTCTCTAGAATATTTTCCAGGTCTTCAATGGTTTGATGTTAAGGGATACAAGAGCACCTTAAAATGATTTTACAAGAGCTGTAGGATCTGCATTCAGACACTGTGTTCAGCACATTTAGCTAGTGTTAGGTATTAAAAACGTGTGGTCTTTTAAAGGGCTGTTTAATAAAAATTGCTTCAATGTTTTTGATATTGTTAAACGGTCTCAAAGAAGAGGTAAAATGTAAACCCCTGCTTTAGCATGATATTTTAGATCTCAAGGTTGGGGTGCAACCTTCATAACACAAAAATTGCTGTCTCGAATGCTTAAACTGATGTAGAGGTGTATGTTAAAATCCATTTTTCCTGTTTGATAGGTAAATCATTCTAAATACATTCTTTTTATCTTATTACTCTTGAGTGTTACTGAGGGAATCTTAAACTTTTAAAAGTGCTTAGACTAGATTGCACTTGATTGTAGCTTTCTTCTTGTAAATAAGGAACAGTAACTTGAACAGAACTGCACTGATTTTTGTAATTTGTTTCTGTGCATTTAGTTATTGTCCCCCAGACTATTGAGGAATGAGTGAACAACCACAAAGTCAAAATAGTTAAAATGGAGAGAATTGGGATAATATGGAAAAATACAAAAGGAACCTTTTCAGAAATGGGAAAATATTACTGGCTGCCTTTTTTCCTGAGTTAATCTTTCACATTGTCCTTCACTCAAACACAGAACTTCCTGAAGAAGAGCTTTGTTTTCCATGTCATAAAAGCATTATTTCATATAGGTGGTTATCTTATGACGTTTTTTCTGTGTTGTACAGTAATGCTACTAAATTCATGTTAATGATTGACCTGCCAAAGCTGCCTGATAAACCTCCTTGGTAAGGAGAACCTCTTCAGTGAGAGAAAATACTTGCTACTTTAGTATAAAAGAATTCTTGAAACCCTGATGCTGTATGAAGAAACTGAAACACCTCATGTTCCAGGTCAGGAGAGATCTTTGTACCTTTAGATGGCTGACATCTAGAACAATACTTCTGGAATCTGAAATTCTCTGACAAGTACTTAAAGAGAAAAGGCTTGGAAGGCTTTGACTTTAACATGGGAGATGTGATATAAGAATTAGCCTTTCTAAAGACAGGCGTTTTATATAGAATAGAGTAATGAAGTTAGGAGGGACCCATGAAGGTGCTTCAGTCCAACTGCCTGACTGCTTCAAGGCTAGCCAGAAGTTAAGGCATATTAGTGAGAGCATTGTCCAAATATCTCTTGAACGTGCATGCATGGGGCATCATCCACCTAAGAAGTCTGTTACAATGTTTGACCACCCTCATGGTGAATAATTTTTTCCATAGTAGCCAGTCCAAAGCTCCCCAAGTGCAGCTTTGTGTTGTTCTCACACGCCCTGTCCTCAGGGAGCAGAGAGACACGCCTGCCTCTCTGCTTTCCCTCCTCAGGAAGCTGCAGAGAGCATCCAGGTCACTTCTCAGCCTCCTTTTCTCTGGACTGGATAAAACAAGTGATTCTAGAGTGTTTTAAAACACATAAGTAGTCATTACACAAGTAAAGGGTTACTTGTATAACAAAGGTAATGAGTTACTTGGTACAGGCAACCATAAAGATTTACAGTATCGTCAATGTTGCTTCCTTTTATGCCATCCAGTTGGCTGAGTAATATGGGAGTGCGTTGAGTACAAGGGAGTTAAGTTGCAGTTTGCAGGGACTGCTGTAAATCTAGTATTTGCAGTCCCTCAGATGTGGTTTTTGTATCAATAATAACTTCGGTACAATTATTTGTCCTGTAATTTCTCTGGACAGATTTTAAAGGAAATGTCCATCATACAGAGAGAGCAGGGAGGCACCTGCTGCATTCTCAGGGTGGGAATAGGATGGTGTGCAAGACCTCTGCTCTCAGCATGCAGCTACAGCCTCTTGCCTGCTTTATATCAGGTATTTTTTTGGTGATACTGCTTATACTATGGAGGAGAGGCCTAGGAGAAGGAATACCTTTATGCGAAACTCGATCTTGGTTGAGCCGTGTGCTTGTGAAAAGGTGTGTCACTTATGTTGAAGAGTTAGTGAATAAGCCGTATACTAGGTAAGTGATGATTTAAGAACATAAAGAACAGAGGTTGACAAGTCAAGTGTCTTTCAAGTGCTGATGTTCAAGGTAGGGAGTCCTTAAATCTTTCAACAGATTGCAGTCGGCCAATTTGTCTGTCATTCATGTCATTGCAACCAAATGTGAAAGTGAAATGCATGTGGAACTGACTGAGGCTGCCTCTAGATCTGGCTTAACCAAATGACAGATAAAAAAATCTTACTCTTAAGGCTGACTCAGGTATTTAATGTTTTACTGAGATCTGACCAAGGAAGCAGCTGACATGCTGAATCTCTTAACCAATACCATTTTAATTATTTTTAGTTCATTTACCTAAGCACAGGATTTTCTTATAACTAGAAAAATATTCTTTACACAGTAAATGTAAGCAGGTGTTCTTTTACATAGATGATTAAATCAAACATCTTTGTAGCTCATTAATGTAGCTCATTATTAACTTAGACCTGGTAGCTTTTTAACACTAGTCTCTGATATCAGTACAAGTTGGGTGACTTCTTTTGGACACGGACTTCCTCTCATTTTTATTAAGCAAGGCTGTTAATTGATTACAGTCCGTACTGACAGATTCTTTAATACTGAGTTCTAGCAATCATCTCCCCAGAATGAGCGAATACCAAAAAGCTTTAGGGATGCATGACATTACACGTGAATTGGTGGTCTGGGAGTGCCGTAACATCTTAAGTCTTTTATTTCAGTTGGAGCACTGTGGTTGCTGAGCATAAAAAATCAAATTATTTCTGATAAAAAATACCGTTATGGAGCTTTATGGACTCCCTGAATTTGCAGGGGGTGGGGGGAAAAAAGCTGTCCCAAAGTATAAATGTGAACTTTACATAAAGATTTGGAGCACTGTTAGTGTTTTGACGCTTAGGCTCTCTGTGAATGTAACTTTATGAGGTAATAGCAGTGTTTTGACATTGGATTAAATTGCAGAATTATCATGCAAATAGCATACATCTTATCTAATTTAATAAAACCAGAAACAAAGAGTTTATTGGGTTACAGGATCAGGGTTTGGAAGTGGAGAGTGGGAGTTAGAAGATCAAAGGCAGAAGGGCTTGCAAGAAAAATTTTGAAAATTAAAATCATGTATTTTACCTATCACGTGGTTTGTCTTTTATTTGGTGATTATCCATGGACTGCAGTAGAACACAGTAATTTACTAATTTTGTTCTAATTTGGGTTCAGTGCAGGTCAGTCTGCTCTGCAGAGGGAACTAGAGACCATGAGAACTGGAACTGCATACTTCTGATGCACATCAGTTCTCTCTTCCTTTGACCAAATTTGAATCCGTTACTGTGGAGAACCACATGTTCTGCTGGTCTGGCTCATGGTTTAGGGAAGTATGACTCAGGGCATGTGCTGGGCTGGGTGCTTGGGAGATCTGCGAGAGCCGGCATCCGGAGTTACTGCCTCACTGGCTGCGCTTCTCAGTTATGAGAGGCTGCGCTTATCAATTATGTAAGGCGTCTGTGTGTAGTGTAACATAATTGTATCTGAATTGGTGTGGAGTGGCAGCTTGAAAGCACCCAAGGGCAAAACTAGTACGGAGATGCTGGTAGCATTTTGTTCTTTCCTTTGATCTTTGCATCATTAAATCACACGCTAGAAAGTCATGGACACCCCTCTTTGTATTTCTTTGTGAGGTTTTCATTTACTGTCTCAGTTATGGTGTAACTGGGTATTATTTTACATTCACGTAGGACTCACTGTGAAGTAAGTATCTTTAGGCTGTGAGAGAGGTGTTATATATAAAGATGTAAAATTGTATTCTAATACTTTCTTATGACGGGGAATGAGAACTATAAAATTGCATATAGCCTGGTTCTGTCCTGAAGGTTTTTGCAGAGGAGTACTGCATTAGCATTCACAGTTTTATGGTAGTCAGGTGACTTTTTGACCTCTCTGCTTATTTGTTTTCAGATTACAGTCCTCAGAAGAGAAAAACTTACTTCTTGTCAGATTATCGATAAAAAGATAAAAATGTGTATGCAGGAGCAATGTGGAAGGAACCTTCCTTGTTTCAGAACAGTATCGTGAGTTTTATTTCATAGATTTGTTTTGCTGTCTTTTGCAGTGCAAAGGAAATGAAGATGGAGAAACAGTTATTGTTGAAAAAGACCATTTTATGGATGACTTCTTCCAACAGGTGTTTTTTGTAATCTTTATGTACTCTTCATTATACATTCTGCATTTCTCAGTTATTTTTGCTTATTTAAATGTTCACAGATAACTACTTGTTGTGGTTTAACCCAGCTGGCAGCTAAACACCACACAGTCATTTGCTCACCCACCCCCCTCCCTCTCTGGGATGGGGGAGAGAAACGGAAAAGTAAAGCCTGTGATTTGAGATAAAGACAGTCTATTAAGACAGGAAAATAATAATAACAATAATGATGATAATAGTACTACTACTAATAATGTGCACAAAACAAGTGATGCACAATGCAATTGCTCACCACCTGCTGACCGATGCCCAGCCTATTCCCGAGCAGCCGGCCCCCCACCCCAGCTAGCCACCCCTATATATTGTTTAGCATGACGTCAGATGGTATGGAATACCCCTGTGGTCAGTTTGGGTCAGCTGTCCTGGGTCTGTCCTCTCCCAGCTCTTGCTGGCGGCCAGTCTGCCCGCTGGCAGGACAGAGCGAGAAGCTGAAAAGTCCTTGGCTTGATGTAAGCACTGCTCTGCAACAATTAAAACATCAGCATGTTATCAGCACTCTCCTCATCCTAATCCAGAACATAGTCCCCAGCAGCTGCTAGGAGGAAAATTAACTCTGTCCTAACTGAAACCAGGACACTACTGAGTGTCTGAGATTGATATGCTGAGATTTCTGTCAAATATTGTCTAGTCTTGCAATTAAATATTTTGATTTTCATTACCAAAGACGCATTAAAAAAAAAAAGCCTTCAAATGCCATATTTTAATTCTTTCATTGCCACATTTATCTTCTAGGTTGAGGAACTTAGAAATAATATAGCAAAAATAGCACACAATGTGGAAGAAGTAAAAAAGCAGCACAGCATTATCCTGTCAGCACCAAATCCTGAAGGAAGTGAGTATCGCTTTTTTAGATTTCAAGTATACATGACTAGATTTTCTGAAATCAATTTTGTTTTGTTTAGATAAGTTTTACTCTGACAGATAGCTGTTCTCAACCCTTCTTACTTTAAGGCATGCCTAAGTTTGTGCACAGGGTATAATGAACAGGGAAGAAAAGACTCAGTGTCATTTTAGCAGAATGTCTCAACAGTAACCTCTTTTTTTGTTCTTACTGATGAAAACCAAACTGTGGTTGTTAATTCTTTTTTTTTTTTTTTTTCCCTCCTGTATCTTCTTCATCTGTTTGTAGGTGGGCATGTGTGTGTCTTATTGACAGTGATTTTGCTAACTGATTCTATATGACTTAAAAAGCAATGACCCTCATGTTAATAAGGGTTAGTAATTGATCTGATTGAGAGCAATTTTTATCACAACCACAGAAATGCATTTGAATTGTGTGGGGACATGATATTGCTCTTGTGAATCTGGTGTCTTTAGGAACTCCAATAACAGATCTAGTTAAGTGCTTCATGAATATGCGTAGTATTTTTCAGAAAATATAAGTAGTGTGTGATACAATTACGTTTTTTTAAGTTAAAAGCAATGAGTCCATGATAAACTACAGGACTGTCACTTGAAAGACTTAACTGAATTTCTTCCTTATGACCAACAAAGAAATATTACCATGAAATTATGTTAAGAAAAGGCACAAAATATTTTACCTGGTTTAGGTGGTGATTTGGGAATAACATTTCCCAGGGCCTGTTACAAGAAATAGGAATCTGATAGTAAGATTTAAAATACCTGGGAATATCATAAGCTTCTCAGTATGATTATGCTATATTGCAGGGTTGTTATACGTGATCCATGGCTTGCTTGAGCTACATTGGTAGTTCAGTGTTCAAGGTGATGTATTTAATGATGTCAACAATGCAATTTTTCTGTTGCTAATTTCAAAAAACATTTTTAATGTGAAGATCTATTTTTGACAAGACCTGAAGAAAGATTGCAGTGGTACAGTCTCCACCAATACAATTGCTGGATCTGGATTTTATGGTTCCCTTCTAAGTCACTTCAGTGGGCAACATCAGCTTTGCTCCAAATGCTGATAGTTGCCCCTGCACAAACAGGTGCTGCAGTGACCTTTCAGTGGCCACCACATTCTGCTGAGAGAAAGGAGTACAGGCAGCTGTAAACTAGTAAAGCAGGATGAATGTCACCAGGGAATTGAGATTAAAGAATACGATAAAAGGATCAGAGAGGTACCAAAGCAATAAGTGTTGTATCACAGAGTAGTTTATGATTTCTTTATTTTTTTCTTCCCAAATAGAATGGAAGAAAGTTAAGAACTTTCAGTTAAGAACTTAAGTCACTTACTAATTAACTGTGTTTCCCCTGGTCGTATATAGTGTCCAGAAATGATGACTTGAATGTCTTTTGAGAAGGCAACTCACTGATTTGTTATCAAACATCAACAGTACTGGTTTTATTTTTTTTAAGGAACAAAAGAAGAACTCGAAGAATTAAATGAGGAAATAAAGAAGATTGCTAATAAAATCCGAGCCAGGTTAAAGGGTAAGTTGAGGGGAGAAATAAAACTGCTATCACTCATAACATATTCAGGATGTTAGTGGTGTTAGAGTTAATGGCCTTCTAAAACTTAACTCTATTATGTATGTATAAATTACCTTGTACAACTCCTGCCAGGTAGTTCCTAAATTTTAAGAAAATCTTAAGAAAATTTAGTGTATAGTTATTCATTCATTAAGCCTTGAATACAAAATGTTCAACTTTTTGCACTAGTGTTTATACAGATCTGTTTTTTTGTCTACTTACATAATTTGGAATTCCGTAACTCAACTCCTTTCATTCAGGCTAAGTAATTTTGCTATGGGTTTTCCCTGCAGTAGTGCCCTGTTCAGTATGCATTTTGAAATACATTGACAGTTTGAGTATTACTCGTTACACTTAGTGTGCGTTTTTGTTGTGTTAGTCTTCCATAAGCACCAGGGTGTGTTTACCTGTTATGTTTTTATCACTTAAAATTTAAGAGCAGTGCTATTTTGTTAGACCTTTTGAACTGCTCCTAGAGTAATAGATGTTAGTGTGACTCTTAATAGTATTGAAGTAGCTACTGTTTTAAGATCTATACACAATAGAATTATAGAACCTATTTAAAACATATATGGATTTCACTGCCCCCACACTACACACACATGCATATGGAAGAAAAGTTAAATGTCTTTGTGGGGAGCCTTGTACATGAGAAAAGTAATAATTAGTAGTATTTACCAAATAACTTTGAGGTGCGGTATTATTAAATTTGCTATATCAAATGTTGACTCAATATTCTTGTATTTGCTATTAGCTATTGAACAAACTTTTGATCAGGGTGAAAATGCTAATCGGACATCAGTGGATCTCAGGATAAGAAAAACACAGGTATGACAATTTAAGAAATGTAAAGAACATAAAAGGATGCTATTATATCAGTGAATGAGTTGCACTTTTTGGAAATAATTCAGGACCCCATGTTCTGTTCTGTTGACACTTAAATACAGTTTTCAGTTGTTGTGCAGTCATATTTGCTGTACTAAGAATAAAATAAACTTTTTGCACATTTTTAAATCCTGTAAAAACAGCACTCTGTATTAGCTCACAAGTTTGTGGAGGTCATGACAGAATACAACGAGACCCAATCTCTTTTTCGAGAACGCAGCAAAGGTCGGATACAGAGACAATTAGAGATAAGTAAGTGACCTGAATACACTTCTTTTTTAAAATAAATAAATTTTAAATGTATTGTTATACCTCCATTGTTTCTTATTACTTAAAGTTAGTACAAAACATCATGCATCTTGGACACCACCTTTAAGCATGTGAATGGGAGGGGAAAGAATTCTCAGATGGCATTAAGTCTTTGCTACTACTCTTCGTAATAACTGTAAAAAATAGAGAAAACTAAATAATACAAAAGTTTTTATATTGCAAATTATTAAATATCCTTTGTTTCATTTTTTCATGTCCTGAAACTGCAGAAGAAACATTAAGCTTGCGTGCAGAAGCTGTTGTAGAGATACTGAATGTGTTCTGTTGTGTTGCTAAAAGCCATTTCCAAATTAACATGCTAATAACGGCGTCATCTCTTTTTATGCTATTCTGTTTGTGTCAATAAGAACATTTTTTTGTAAGTTCAGCTACCATAACATCAGTGCTACCTTTAGTTATACTCTAATAATTTGTTGAATGACTTGCATTGCCTTATTTCATTGTTGATTATGAGGAATATTCAGAAAGGCACCTAACTACTCAGAAGTACAGTGCCTACTTCAGAAAGTGTCTAAAACACCAATAATACCTTGTACCTAATGTTGGCCTTTTTAATGCAACTTGTAAAAGCAAATAAATATTTTTTATATGAAAAATGCAAACAGAAGAGTTAGCAGTTAGTTTGCTTTTCATGTGCTTCTTTTCTTTTTCATTAGTTTCCCATACTTAGTATGGTTCAATTCAGCATTTCAGCATAGTTTATTTGGCAAGTTAATTTCTTCACTCATGCTCCTGTGGGAAGGGACCCTAATATCTCAGGACATGATTCTTTTAAATTAATGTTATGACCTAATTTGATTCTTTAGCTTTTCCTCAGCAGTAAAAATTTTAAAGCCGGTTTTGCAGCATTCTTGGGTATTAATATCACAAGGTAGTATTAAAATTAATTTTCATCTGATAGGACAGAATTATATAAGCCATTTCTAATCCCTGCTCTTCCCATGTAAAATAAGTTGAATGTCTGTATATGATGTGTACAATACAAATAGCTTGAATATGCTCTGTAACTTTTGTCTTTAATGCAAAAGACATTTGCATTTGTTTTACCACTGTGATAGGATTCAGTTTGCTTAAACATGCAATAATAAACTGCATACATTGTTAGGTGTGTTACGAGAAGTAGAAGTGAGGATACTCCGTGGGTAATCATCTCCTCTGTGGGGAATTTGAATGTAATCCTATGTTAGCTGTTAAAGACTGATTTACATAAAGACTTACATATGGTTTACATAAAGACTAGATCCATCACTGTCATTGGTAGGAGGGAGGAAGCAAATTAGGTTCCAATGTGACATGATTGAATGGGTAAATATTGAGTGTTACATAAATACTATTTGTATCTTCAGTTCTTCCTCTGGAGAACACTCAACAGGGTTCATATGTATATTGTAAATGTTTCTGATCAAGCTTTTCAACATGACCAAAAGAAAAAACCCACAGGAAATCTTCATACTAGTTCTGAATCTAGCATAGTTTTTTCTTTCTACTTGACGTTTTTCTTTTTTTCATATGCAAAATGGTACTTGGTAATGGCTAAACACTACATTGTTTTATCTTGAAAAATGTGCAATACAAGAATTTTCTTTGAGTTTTTATTCTTCTGTAAAATTAAGTTTAATAATAAGTGATGTTATATAAAATATTTTATTTTTATTCTAGCTGGAAAGACCACCACTGATGAGGAACTGGAGGAAATGTTAGAGAGTGGCAATCCTTCAATTTTCACATCTGATGTATGTATTTCTGGTCCAGTTAAGCCTGTCATCTGTTCTGTTTCTTCTGCTATTTAGAAGTTTGTCAACACTTATTTGTGTCTGTATTTTTTTGTTCTTCCAAAGATTATATCAGACTCCCAAATAACTAGGCAAGCTCTGAATGAAATTGAGTCCCGACACAAGGATATTATGAAACTGGAATCTAGCATACGAGAGTTACATGAAATGTTTATGGACATGGCTATGTTTGTTGAGACTCAGGTAAACAAACTAATTCAAATACATATACATAAGTGGGATTTTTTTCTTTTCTTACTCTTTGAAATATAAGGAAACAATTGCTTGTAATCAAATAATACAGGTTTGTTTCTTAGTGTTTTTTGACTGATTAGAATATATGAAAGTTAACTGCTGAAGGTTTTTGTATTTTAGACAAATTTACAGTCCAGATGTACTAATAGTATGTCCTATGGATTGCTGAGCATAGGCACTTTTCAGTCTCTATATTTAAGTATTTTCTTCAACATATTTGTATTGCAGTATGTTTGAATGTTTTGTGCATGCTTGAGTAAGAACAACTCTGTCCTGGAGTGATGGCTAGTGTCTTGGAAACTTACTATATTCATAGACATGTTAAAGGACTGATGTGGTAGAATAAAATGTAGATTTATACAATTTGCGTATAATACAAATGTATGATTCCTGTTTTAACAAGCATGAATGTAAACAGATTGACAAGACATTCAAGTTGTCTCATGTTGTTTATCCTGAGGTGCATATAGTTTGTTCTGTCTGTAGTCTTTGCTACTTAATACCAGTTAACAGAAGTTAAAAGTATTTTACTTAGCTCTTAAATTCTTTGAGTTCTGCAGGAGAGTGAAAGGAATAATGTTCAGGGGAGAAGCTTTCCTGAAAAGGACTTTTTTTTAATTGGGTTTTGTGCTAAAGTTGTATGTTGCTTTGATATTAGATCTATCGGCAAGGCAAACTGGTAGTAGTTTCCTAATGAATTAGAAATGAATAAAAATATTTGTGCATCATTATTTAATGCTTTGCTGTTTACTGCTGCTGATTATTTCTTCTGATGGACAGAAACACAGGTAATAGAGATTTACTGTAACTTTTCACCAATCTTCCATTTCATTACCAAATTTCATTCATCATAATTTGAATTTGGTTATGTGTTGACGTTCTAAACATTCAACTCAGCTTTGCTTCCTGAAGTGTATGGATTTTTTAGGTAACTGTTAAACCTTGTGTTAAAGTAGTCAACATCTTTGCCCACTTCCAGGCACATCAGAGGTTTCTGACCTTTTAGTATGTCAGTTTTAGACTGCCTGTTAAAACATACCTCTCATTCAAAGGTATGTTTTCAGATGTTCAATGTTTGTTCATTCAAAATGGAGAAAGATGCCTACCCTGCCCTTGAATGTTCCTTGTTTGTTTAGAACTTTGAGCCCTTGCTTCTCATTCCCTTTTACCCGTGACACATTCCCTTTTCCTCGTGGCAGAAAAAAAGTTCATTGCTACTATGCGAATTACTTCTTAAAATATTCATTGATATTCTGTAGCGTTTTTCAGATTCACTAAACAAAGATCCATGGATGCCAATGATTATTTTTTCTTTAACACTTCATTTTAAGGGTGAAATGATCAACAACATAGAAAAGAACGTGATGAATGCATCAGATTATGTGGAGCATGCTAAGGAAGAGACAAAAAAGGCAGTTAAATATCAAAGCAAAGCACGAAGGGTATGGTCTCTCTTCATAATTGCGCTAATGAGCATGTTAACTTGAAATATATGGATCGAAACATTGACTTTTAAAAACTGAAAATGCAAGTTTTAATGTGATATTAAAATAATAATGCCTTGTTTTTAACAGAAAATATGGATAATTATCCTTGTGTCATTGGTGTTGATTGCCATAATTGGTCTAATTATTGGTTTGTCTGTTGGTATTCGGTGATGCTTGGATAACCTCAGCATGCATGAATTCCTGCCAGTGCGGCAGTAAGTAACTAATCATCTAATTTTGCTATTGTTCTGCTCTGAGAAACTCTTTGGACTACTAATCCTTACTATGTGTGCAGTTAGTACTGTGGCAGTGAGGTGACTAGGTGGATCCTCCTCTGTCTCTTCATTCTGCAAAAGTTCTATGCATGAGAATATTGAAAACTGTGACATCTAGTGGTATTTTTTTTTAATTTATCGTAAGACCTGTAAACAAAAAATGAAATGAGATAACCCAGCTTATTGTCTCAGTCCTTTGCTTTTTTTTTTTATATAAAGTTAACGTCAGCAAACAGCCTGCACTAAGATACAGATTTCTATTTGGAATTTTGTCAAATGTAGTTTTCTACGGCTTTCAGCAGAGATAAATTAGGTGTCTACAAACATAAAGCTGGCTATTTTGCCTTGCAGAATATACATAAATTTCTTACTTTAAAGCTCTTTTACCAAATAAAACATTGCATTACAATGTTTTGGTTAGACCAAATGAAACCATGTGATGATACATTTGTAAGAGGAATTCTGCAAATATTCCAACCTAAATTTGAGAAATCTTTCAATTTTCAGAATTTTGCTGTACTTATCTGCCATTTCTTGTCAAATTGACTTCTAGCCAGGCTAAGCAGATAATAGCACTTGACTTTTCTGGGACCAGTAGATACCCAACATTTTACATGTAGGATCTCCAAAATATATATGAAGCTCTATGAGATAGTATGTCATTTCAGACCACTAATCATTAGTTTGGTTGTCTGTACTAACACATTTTTAATATTAACATTTAAGTTTTTACTTCTGATGTTATAGTTTCTTCTCACATTTGGTTTATGGGCAGACAACACGCTTTACTTTCTATCATTGCTGATAGAAATACCTGACCTGCTGTCAGACCTTGATGCATCTACATAGAATCCAGTTGTGTGGTTTTTTTGTGCAGATCTTCTGAGCTACTAGCTATACAAGGTTTTTACTGACATTCTCCTGAATTTGAGAACATTTGAGAACAGAGTGCAATTGTAGAGGTTTGAGCAGACTACAAATATTTATCCAAGGATTGGATTTATTGCAGTTAGCAATGTTATTATTTTTAGGCTTGACCTTAATAAGTAAATGTTTGTTATTGCTGCTATTTCTATATGTAGTAATATTTATGGAAGTTTCCTATGGGTAGTAACAACTATAAAGAAAAATAATTGTTATACAAATAGCTACAGCTAGTGACTATGGTTACATATGTTAGAAAAGAATGGATAACAATAGAAAATCACAGTAGTAAGTTTTTATTTAGAGGGATAATTCAAACATTTAGAATAGATACCAGTGTAATTGATCTTCTGTGGGTATGCATGTATTTAAAAAGTTCTTTATCTGACAAGGTACATCAATCTAAACTTTTCCTTTTTTTTTTTCTTTCAGAAATTGATATTCATTATTATATGTGTAACTGTATTACTTCTGATACTTGGAATTATCCTAGCAACAACACTATCATAGCAAGTATATTCAAAGAGCTACGAACCTTCAGCAACTCCAAAATATGTCTTCAGTAAAGCCAAACTTTTTTTATGAAAGATGCCTTAAACCCTTGCACTGTTACATGATGATTACCTATCACTAAATGGCTAAAATGAAAACAAAATCACTCTTAATGTTTACTTATAAATGAAGAACAGAATGTATTAGGATATGTATGGATTTTCATCATAAACTATACATTTGTAAGACCGAAACTTGCTTTTAATTGTTTTGAACTAAAGTAACTTAGGATGCTTTCATATTTCAGTGTTATAAACAGTTCATATAGGGAGATGAGAAGCTTTTTTGACTGTTTGACTTTTTTATTTCTATTGCTAATATAATCCTAATCACAGATTTTATAACCTTACTGGTGTTGCTTCTGTTAGCACTCCTGTGAACATTTTTATGAAATGTAACTATGTCTTTAAGTTATTTAGTCACCTTAGCCTGTCTAAGCTTAATACTTTATTAAAATATTCTTCAGCAAGTGCTAAAATATTTTATCCTGAAAAGACCACTTAGATATTTAATGGTCTGCCTCCTACATTACACTTCAAAAAGCAAAGATTTTTTTTTACACTTTCCATTTTTATTCTTTTCAACATGACTAAGATTAATTGCTTTAAATATTTTCTTTATGTTATGGTAGAAGTGCTTTCTGGTAAAAGAATACAATAATGAAACACACAATTTGAACTTCAGCAAATAATTTTATAGTCTTTGTTCAAACAGAACTCATGGATCAGATTAGCCTTATTGTTCATATGAATGATAAAAATCATATGATAAAATGATTTTAAAAAAATCACACCTTCTGTAAAGTCAAGTCAATATTTCATTTTCAGAAGCTTGCTAATGTTGTGTGAATGTAGTACATGGGGAGAAATGCAACTCTCTCGGAAAACTCCAGAACGTAATGCAAACTAAGACGCTGATTTGTTATGAAATTTATTATATAACATGTATGAAGTGTCTTAGTATATACATATTGTTGTAATGCTAGCTTGTAAGACCTGAAAGCTTGAAAGACTTTAAATGTAACCAAATAACTGCATTTAATGTTAAAGATTATTTTTGTATTTTGTGTGTAAAGTATTTGTAACTTGAATTTTTGATTTCTCGTTGTTTAGGATGTCCATGTAGATATGTAGATACATTTACATTGTAAGAGAATTAGAGGAATGTATAATGTGTGCCTTTTTAAACACAGTCTAAAACTATGCTTGTTAATGTTTCCAGATATTCCACTATAATGTTAATTTCAATAACTGTCATAAAAGATTAGAATCTTTAAGCTTACATTTTGTGGAAAGTGCCTGAGATTATTAACTAAAATGTAACTCAGTCTATTGACTAGCTTCATAAAATTCAGCAAAGTTTACAATATATATTGCATGTATGAATATTCTTGCTTTGCTGTCCAATTATACTGTGAATATGCTAGAGCTATTCAGATACTGTATTTTTTTTTTTTTTTTAACAAAAAAAGCCTTCTGCAAGCCAGCCATAAAGAAGTTGCTTGAAAAAATTCAACTTCATTAATGAACAATTTTTACCTCTAAGCCCAGAACACTCGCCAATGGTTGTAAGGAAGTTTACAAGCAAAGTAAGGAAAGATTGGTTGCCTTAGTGCTCATTCTAGGTAAAATGTATTTTTATTCTATAGTTTTCTAGAATTCTAATAGTAAATATTATTTATACAAAGTGCATTGAGAGGATCAGTTCTGCCGTTCTACAGCCGGTTATCTAAAATGTTGCTCCAAATTTGGTTGTGTTGATTCTTTTTTAATTTATAATGTAGTAATTTGCCCATCAAAAACAGAAATATGAATAAGCCGCTTCACGTTTTCTTACTTGTTATATAGCTGCCTCAGTTTGTTTTAAAACAAAACTTGTTTTTCACATGAACTTTTGTTCTGTTAATGTTGTGGGGGAGGAAATCTCTAACCTATGCACTAATAAATTTATCTACGCAAGTATCTTGTTGCTATTATTATATTCATGATGTTATTGTGACCTTTGTGAATATTTCCAGTAAGTGTTTGAATAAGGCACGCATGTCAAACAACTGCTAATAAGATAATCAGTCTTAGTCTGATTATCTTATTTCCTGAAAATCTTCACACACACAAAAAAAAAAAAGGCAGGCAGTACTGAAGATATGAATGGCAGTTATTCATTTAAAGTATTCCCATAGAATTTTATTGAATATTAAACTTGATAAATAGAGGAGTTATATTTGGATAAAGCTAGTCATGTGTTCTCAGATTCTGTATAAAAGCACATTTTTCACTATCCAGAAATAAAATAGTGGCATCTCATTGCTGCTTCTTACAGGGAAACCACACCCTCTGTACAAAAAGCACCAGGTGGGAACACAGATGAATTCATTAGAGTGAGCTAAACTTCCCCAAATACAGAACAGACATTTCTAGGCAATGCAGTGTTTGTTTAGTGTAGCACTATGTGAGGTTTAATGAATGTAAGCCTGATAAATAAAATTTAGAAGACAGAAGGAGCTGAAGTAACTAGGAGGAAGGATGCTTTTCTGTATAAAAAAAATAATTTTTAAAAAGCCCTTCAGAGAGCTGTGCTTAATGTAGATTATTTGAGAGTGGCTTGGGTGATTTTTATTTATTTTTTTTAAACTTCAATTACAGTGTTAAACTTGATTTGATATGTTCTGGTGGCTTGTATGTGACTTCTGAAAATAACCATGGCATGCTTCCTCATGCTGCAGTCAGTGGGTCAGCCTTTGCACCTGTGAATCAACTCAGTCTTTTCTGTCATATACAATAACTGGCTCTTCAGTTACACAGTGCTGCTTGCAGGCTGTTTTCATTACCTCTGTCAAACATGCAAAGTCCTTCTGCACAGTAGTACAGCACTTCCAAATCAACTTTTTGGAATAAAAAAGAGCATTTTATAAGCATTTATAATCAGGTTTTGAAGAACGAAAGTACTTCTCAAAGATTTTTACGAAGGGAAATTTATAGAAATGGTAAGTAGTTACAAAATAATTGTATATTTTAAAGAATGTTTTGATTGCTGCACTTACAGGCTGCTTTTGAACCTTCTTTAAGAAGGGGGGAAAGGAGTTTGATACTGAATAGTAAGTTCATCAGAAATTGCTGGTATACGAATAGCTAACAATATATAACAGATTGTGGTCTGGGAAGAAAGCAATTTTGTTTTATGCATACAAAAACAAACTGTAATTCCTGTATCCACACTTCAGAGAGAATGTGAGACTATATTGGCTCAGCCCCTGCTAATTCCTCTCAACTCCAGTAAACTGTGCTGGATCACATTAAACTAACACAGAGCACAGCTTAGTTTAGAGAATATGGCAGAATGAATAAAGACTCACCAGAGGTGCCATTTATATCGCAGCTCACTTTACAGTCCTTATATGTAATTTTACAGAAAATGCACAGGCATTTTTTAATTGTCCTTGCTATGTGTTCACTGTCAAAGTCTATTAATGGGATTTATGTTTTGACATCTTTCTGGACGTTAAAAACTTCAAGAAGTTTCAGTTTAAAAAACTCTAATTACAATGCACTTTACAGAAATTGTCAGCACTGCTGTTATGGAGAACATTGTTTGCACTTTACAGATGTGAGAAATGATTTTGGGAAGAAAGGTGAGCTGAAAGAGGAGGTATCAGCACCAAAAAATTCTGCATGTTTTGTTTTTCAATATCAAAACTTTGGACCCTGTACACCAACTATAGTTGTGAGATGCACCCACCACTGTAAATAAGGTCTAAATACAGTTCCACATTAAAAGTGACAAGAGATTCCCACACAGGAGAAGCAGCCATTGCAACCTGGCACGTCAGCGTTTGAAGTCCTGTCCTGTGGGCTCCTAGGGATGTGGGAGATAATATTTTTTCTCTCAATAGTTGTAATCCTGCTTAAGTAATTCATTCAAAAGTGACGGAATCATTTCCTCTGCTATTAGTCTTGTTTATTTGGTGGTTTGGAAGAAAACCACCTTTGCTTCATAGTGCATCTTCTGAACAATATTGTGTGATCGGTTTAATAGTCAGCATTTCTGATGGCACAGCTTTTCACGCGGGTTTTTCTGTAGTGCTCTTCAAACACCTACAGGAATTTGTCCACAACGTCGATAGTCAACACACAGTAGAACATTAACTGATGTGGCAGATTGACTTGTTTTTTCCCTGTTCCAAAACAGCAGACCTCCTGGTCATGAAATGATGCTTTAAAAATATGAGTAGAGCCTGCTTTGTTTTATTTTTAATGTATCAATAGGTTTTACAGTGGAAAATTAAATAAATTTTCATTTAGAACTCCCTCACCACCTTGGATTGTTAATACTGTAAATTGCAGCCGCATAGAGATGTTCTGAGAAAACAATTACTTCCTATTTTATTCTTCCAGGTTATTCCCTAGGATTTTTGATTTAAGCATAGATAGCGGTCAGGACCTGAGTCTAGGCAGAAGATCTGATGCCTGCAATCTACTCAGATCAGCTTGGCACTGGTGAGAAGTAATGATAGTTTTGATGGAGAGGGGTCTAAACCTAAGGAGAAAACCCTACTGCTTCTACATTTATAGCAAATACTGTAGAACAATTGACGTGTGTTGAGGCAAGACATGAGCTTATTAATACAGTTATGTATTAAAAAAAAAAAAAAATCATACAATGACAAACACAAAAAAAAAAAGGTGTTTTTTTTTCACTTGGTTATGAATGAAAAGTTTAGTCATTTAAAAATGCATAGGAAAATATAATCAAGAAACAAATACCAACCATTGAAAGCAGTATTGATAATGGTTTATTTTAATTCAGATTTCTAGGGGGAACTACTTAGATCTGATCTTCAAAGTGAGCAAATTAGGTCATCTACATAGGTGCGGGATACAAGGAAGCAGTTTCCAGGTTTAAAGCCATACATGCTGGATAAGGTTAATTCTGCTTAGCCTCTTTTGTTCTATTCTTAATATCTCCTACTGCCATGGGAGAGGGTTGCTTATGTTCAAAAGAAAGAAATAATCATTTCACACACAGGTCAGTAAAAGTACAAAAAAAAAATTCTGAATTGCTGATACAGTTTCTTACACATGCATTCTTGTTTAGAGTGGTAGTCTGACTTGCTTAGAAATTTAGTTTATTACTGCTGTGAATCTAAGCTAAGCCACAGCTATCAAACTGAAGCATTCAAGTTCTGTGATTAGCTAAACACAAATAGAAAAAAGAGGTTAGTTGTCCTGCCATATTACATTTCAAGCTGTGAAGTACTGATAGTTGAAGGCATCACACAGAAGATGCATCTGCAGGTAGATGGTTAGGAAGCCAGTGGGAGTTAGGAGCCTAATTGCAGTGTTCTAACTGAAACAGAATGATATGTTCAGTTTGAAGTTATAACTATTAGAATACACTTTAACGACTTTTAAAATCACAGTATTGATATCTTACGCATTTACTATAAAAAGTACCATAGTATCTTATTAAGTGGTCAATAGTGTAATAGAGCAGGAGAAAGAGAATTGGAAATTGAAAGAAAACAAGTCAATATTTACCAGCCTTCCACTGCAATGGACTCTTACAGGGTTGCTCTTCATCCCTGAATACTCCATTGCGTGGAAACTGCTTGTAAACACCAACAATGCAGTAATACAGTAGATACTACAATGAATGCTTCATTGCATTTCAGTATTTTGAGTGTGTATATTTGAGCATATATTGAGACCCCTTTTCTCTATGCATGTTACTTTTCTAGCCTTCTTGGCGGCAACAATTTTTGTGCCTAGTTACATAATTAGAATAAACTTCTGAATTTTGAAGTAATACAATATATATAATGTCTATTACTGCTATCTTTATACACTACAGAATTATATCAGGGCATATATCATCAGTGTAGTCATACGAGTTTATTTAATCTTAGCTCTCTAGCCCCAAATAATTTCTATAAAAGCCCAGCAACTTAAAGAAGTTCAGTCTCTAGGTTACCTCCCTGAAGAGAACCTTGAGTTCCCGAAATGTTGCTTCTTTTCTAAAATCAGCACATTAATTGATGGGGAGGGGGGGAGTAGTGTCTCCACTGTAGGCTATGTATTTTCTGCTGATCTCTGTTTTCAAAATGTAAGTAACCACAATTTTGAAAATTAATTCTCTTTCTTAGGTTCAGATGTTGCTGATTTGTCTACTGTGCTTATTCTATCTAAAGGATTGCATGATTGCTTTACTTGCAGACATCTTCCTTTTGCTACTTTATTTCTTTAATGGACTTTTGGCAAAGGCCTTTTAAAATACCATAGCTTGTAAGCAGCAGCCTTCTGCAGTGCTACAGATTGACTTGGGACCTGACCAGGAAAGTATTTACCAGCTCTTCATGCTGTTGTTTGAATTACTGGCGTTATTTACTTAATGCTGTTGGGGAGGGGGTGGAACAAAAAAAACTTTTCCAAGTGCAGTCCTTCTTACCTTTGGAGCTATCTCATTGCATGTCTTAAAGTTTTTTTTCCCATTTCTTCTCCTGGTCTTTGACTTCCTTTTGTTGAGGCTGTTGGTTCTAGAGGCATAGTGTCTTTTCTTATTGAATCTACCTCATGGTATCTGTAGTGAAGAAAAGCAGCAGTATGTATGCTTAGTAAAGGTCAGTCATTGATGATATGAATGAATCTTGGTTTCATCCACACTGTTGCCTACTATCTTTAAATGGATAAATATAACTGCACACAAATGAATCTAACTGCATCAGAAAGCAAGATGAAGAAAAAAAAACTCAAGCAGCTTTTAACCTTTGGAAAATTTGCAAGAAACGTTCCAAAACATTTTGGTTCGAAGTCAGTTCGTGCAGATTTAAACATAGCATTTCTAGCTCACATAATTCCTCTGCTTTTGATTTTCCCTTTTGGCAATTTATTCAGTGTAGATTTAGTGGATGGAATCTCAGAGGAGAATAAAAGCCAGTGTTTTGAAAACTAATGAAGTAATTATC